TAGTTATTGCAGTGTTCAGAGCTGTGGTCAAAGGAGAGCCTGGGGTCAGGGAATCGGGAGGATTTGAATTGTTAAGGCTATTTGATGAAGGGGCAAGCCTCATTGCCCCTAATAGTGGAGTCATGTTTTCATTATTGGCCATGGTAAGCCAGGAGTATGTTGGGGAGAGAAACAGTTCACCCCTCAGGGTCCCCTTGAGGGGTAAGGGCTAGGCCTAAGCAAGGGAATACCGTGCCCATGGCTCCCTCAGGCCGTTCAGGACTGGCACAGTCAGCCTTTCATCCTTTCAGCACGGCTCTCACACCTTAGGAGGTGGATAGCAGAAGGGATTGGTGAAGGGACAGAAACGAAAAAGTAGGAAGGGAAAAAAGACCAAGAAAAATTAGTTGAGTCGAGGGCTGAGTCCCAAGGTTGGGGAGTTCCCCATCATTGGGTCCCAGTCTCCGCCTCCAAAGCCCCCCCACAACAACGGGCAAGGGATTGGGGGGGGGGGGGGGTGAAGTCGGAGAAAGGAGAACTGGAAAGTGGTCACTAGATAAAGTGTTCTAGAACAATGGAAATCTAAATGAAGAGAAGGGAAGCATAGAGAGAGGTCAATGCATGAAAAAATTGTGTGCATGTATCAGCGTGTGTGGGGCGATCTGAATTAAGAATGTCAGCTGCGCTGAGGAAGCACTCTAGGGACAAAGTCAATGGGGTAGGAAGGGGAGAAGTAGACTGAAATCAGTGATCCAGTGGCGAAGAAAGATGCGAATAACTGTGCAAGGGACAATGGTTTGAAAGGGAGATATGACATAAGACGTTTTCTGACTGATAAGTATAAACGAGACATAATGGGAGTGTGGGGAAGAGACAAAATGGTAATTGGGGATTGGTATAGGATGTTTAAGAAAAGTCTCTTGAAGGCATATTATGGATGGGTTATAAGAGGAAGGGATATAACGAAACTCGGGTCTGTGAGAACGGAAACCACGAATATTCCAATGAAGGATAGAGGGTGGGTTAAGGAATGAGAGGGGGAGACGGTGTGGTATCAGGAGGGTATTAGGAGGTGGAGGGTCTGGGGAATAAAGGATTAGTCTGATATGCGAAGCTGAGCCTCGCCCGGGCTATGCGGGAGCCCGGCCTGTGCCGACTAATGTCGACTCGCTATCAGTGTGTCAGCTGGTGCTGACTCGGCTTTAGTCCTTACCCGCCGTGGTGCCCAGCCACAGCAGTAACCTCCAGGCGATAAATGCAACTTCTCGCGCCTGGGCGTGGCGCGAACCGCCGACCCCTCGGATGAGAGGTTGACACGTTACCATTGTACTAGCCCGGAGGCTGTCTGGGGAAGGGGATAGTTGTGATATAAGGGATTCACATGTGTATCCAGGAGGGAGTGGAAGGGATGGAAGAGAGGGCGGGAGGGTTACTGTAGGTGGGGTTGGAGTCTGGGGGATGGGCTGTGTTGGGAAGGGGGATAGGATAGGGTGTAGGGAGGATATGAATAGGATGGATATCGGCAATCACTTTGAGTGTGGAGGGAGCGGGAGATGTGGAATTTGAAGGTAGATGAGGGTTTTAGTGCCAGCTTGGGACTCAAATAGTTTTGAATATCTTCAAGTTTCTGTAATAGAGTTGGTTGGGGAATTTTGTGAGACAAAGGTTTTCTTGTGAGGGGGGAGAGAAGACTGGTGTCTGTAGCGTAGGGGTAAAGGAAGGTGGTGATTGTGTGGTAGGGGAAGAGGGGGTAGAACATGTCTGCTGCAGATTGTGTGGGGGAGTGGAAAGTGTTGGAGCTGTAGTAGAGATTGGAGTGCAAAAGAATTTGACTGGGGAAGGTAGGAGGTAGAATATGGGAAGTTAGATAGAGGGATAGGTTTAGGGAAGGGTGTAGGATCTTGGGAGGTAGGGGGGGGGGGGGTGGCAGAGTGAGCGACATTATGGAGTAGGATGATTAAAAGAAAAGAAAAAGTCGACGTGCTTCCTGTCTGCCTACACATAGCGAGTCCAAGTCTGATTCTGAGAGTTGGTACCTCAGAATCAAATTTGTAGGTGGGAAAGCCATTATAAAATACATCATGGGGCCGCCACAGTTAACATGTGTGTGATTGTGCTAAGCAGTTTGGCTGTGGAACGGCATACTCAATTAGATGTCCTCTATGTGCCCAACCTAACCAAATGTTTGGCAGAATATCCTAAACGCCAACAATTTTAGCAATGACGAGGAGGTTGATATGGTCGGACAGGGAGGGATTCTCCACCTATGTAAACATTTAAGGGAAGATTGTGTCAACGGAAAATAATTTTGGCAATGTTAGTGGGGTTCTTATGATGACTTGTGGGAGGAATGGAGTAGCATTGTACTGATATCACATCATAGTCCGTGAGACAGGCGAGTAAGTCTTCTCCACAATCTGACCAATTTTTGTTAGATAGGGCAGTTTGCTGGGGAGATAGAAACAGTTCTGGTGCAAGTAATGAGGGTTATGATTAATGGTTAAAAGCAAGATAAATGTGCTAGACATCTAAGGTCATGTAGCACTATAGTTAATGTTAGTGAAGGGTGGTTGAGTTAGTGATTAGTTGTCTAAGCTAGGCAAAGGAATTGGTGAGTCAAAGGGTTAAGGTCGGGTGTTAGATTAGATGAAGGATATGTATGCGTTTGAGGAAAGAGAACAGGTTGTTGATGCAGAAAGTGTGGGATTCTGTAAGGATGTCTGATAGGTTGGGAGGTCGGTGAAAGGAGGATAGGTGGGGGAAAGCAGAGGTATGGACTGCTTCAAAACGTGGGCACAACAATAGGATGTGTGGGATTGAAAGGGGAACATTACATAAGGAACATAGGGGTGGATCAGATTGTGACATCAGATAGGAGTGTGTTAGACGGGTGTGGCACATGCGTAAGCGGGCGAGAGCAGTCTCCCAACGTCTGTTTCGATGAAATGGAGCTGACCAGGAGATTGATAGTTTTACAGAATGTAATTTATTAGTGTGGAGGCTTGACCAGAAAGATTGCCATTGTTTATACAAGAAGGTCTTAAAGTGTGGGTAATAATCCGTGGCTGGGATACGTGAGAAGCGTGGTTGGTATGATGTGGACATAGCAGCGTGGCGTGCTAGTCTATCTGCCTGTTCATTGAAGGGGATTCCAACATGGCTGGGCAACCAGCAAAATTTGATTGTTTTATGGCGTGTGGACAGGTAGAACAACCAGTTCTGGATCTTACAAACAAGGGGGTTGGTGCTGTGTATTGACTTTATGAGAGTTAATGAGTTACGAGAGTCAGTAAAAATTGTAAAAGAGGAAGAGGAGAGTGAATATGTGTTTTAGGGCAAAAAGGAGTGCATACAGTTCTGTAGTAAGGACACTGGATTCAGGAGGAAGGGAGTATTTGAAAGTACGAGTTGGGAATATTACTGCAAAACCAGCGCCAGAGGTGGATTTGGAGCCATCAGTATATACGTGTATACTAGAGGAATGGGTGGAGACATGGTCAAGGAAATGGATGAGAAGGACAGTAGGAGAAATATTTGATTTTGGTGGGTCGGGGAAAACAGAAGAGCAAATATGGGGGTGAGGTTTAAGCCATGGAGGGACGGAATGGACAGAGAACGGGAGAGGTTGGAGATGGGGGAAAGGGGAATGGGAGAGGAGGGTATCCATGCGAGTGGAGAAAGGAGTAGGTAAACGTAGAGATGAAGCTAAGGTAGGAAGTAGGGATTGTGGGATAGTTAGTTTAGTGAGAGGAAGTTGGTGGAAACGAACATAACATCGGAGAGAGAGGAGGGCACGACGTCGAGATAGAGATGGTATGCCTGATTCAGTATACAGGCTCTCAACTGGAGAGGAGTAGAAGGCACCTAGTGCTAAGCGAAGACCACAGTGATGGATTGTGTCAAGATGGGCAAGGAGAGAAGTTGAGGCAGAGGAGTAGATATGGCATCCATAATCAAGAGTGGAGAGGATCAAAGTAACATGAAGATGAAGAAGAGTTTTGCGATCTGAGCCCCATGATATATGGGATAGAGTTTTTAAAATTCGAAGGCGGCAGAGAGCTTTTTCTTTCATGTGTAGAATATGGTCTCGCCAAGTCAGTTTGGAGTCAAAAATGACGCCTAGGAATTTGCCAGAGGAACGGCATTGGAGTGGAGTGCCATGTAAGAGTGGGGGTAGGGGACTTACATGTGAGCGAGAGAAAAGGATGGAGAAAGATTTTGAGATAGAAAAGAGGAAGCCATGGTTTGTAGCCCAGGAAGATACTGATGAGATTGCAGATTGAAGAAATTGGTAGAGATTTGGTATGGATGTGCCAGAGGCATAGATGATTAAATCATCAACATATAGTGATGACCGGGCTCCTGGTGGTAAAACTGAGACAATATCATTAACAGCAAGAAGGAATAAAGTGGTACTGAGCACACTGCCTTGTGGGACACATTCGATTTGAGGAAAGAAAGATGATGTGGCAGAAGCAATTTTGACCTGAAAAGTGCGTTGGGAGAGAAAAGACTTTATGAAGACACCCATGTTTCCACGTATGCCTAGAGGGACAATTGTTGGAGAATATGGTACTGCCATGTCGTATCATATGCTTTTTCTAGATAAAAAAATATAGCTAGTACGGATTCATGGCGTGCAAATTCGGATGTAATATGTCTCAAAATAAGCAAGAGGGTTAGCTGTGCTTCTGGCACGGCGAAAACCGAATTGGGAAGGAGAGAGAAGATTGTGAGATTCAAGATACCACATTAAGCGGAAGTTCACCATTCGCTCTAATAGTTTGCACAAGCAGCTAGTTAGTGCGATGGGGCGATAGTCTTGAGGGAGGGTACCCGATTTATTGGGTTTCAGGAAGGGAAGGATTAGAGCTTCTCGCCAATTAGAAGGAAAATTTCCCGATGTTCATATGTGGTTGTAAATTTTTAATAGGAAGGATAAGGAGGAAGATGGGAGTTGCCGGAGCATACGGTAGTGAATACCGTCAGGGCCTTCATGAGTGTTGCGGCACGATTGTAGGGCAGTAATGAGTTCAGAGGAAGAAAATGGGGCATTATAGGACTCAGCGGAGGATGGGGTGAAGGTAATGGGGGTACGTTCTCTGGTGGTCTTGATAGAATAGAAGTGTGGAGAAAGGTGAGAGCCACTACTGACCTGGCTGAAATAATCACCCAGTTCATCAGCGACTTGGAGAGGATCAGAGATGAGGGTATCTCGAATATGGAGGACGGGGGCAGGATGGGGGGGATGTTTGCCTGATAGTTTATGGATTCGTCGCCATACATTTGAGATAGATGTAGAGGATGTAATTGATGAAACAATTTCGCCAGCTATTTGTTTTACTATTCCGGATTGTACGACGAAGACAGGCAGATGCTCTTTTAAAGGAGATAAGGGCTGATAGTTGATTTGGAGTACCTCTCTTGTAGCGGTAACTGTTCCAGGCTGCACGTTTTAAGCGAAGTGCTTTAGTGCAATCAGAATTCCACCATGGAACACATTTAGAGGTATAAGGTCTTGAGGTTCGAGGGATAGCTGTATGTGCAGCTCTTAAGACTGTACTTGTGAAACATTGTATCATTTCTGAAATGGAGGTGAGGGAGGATGGAGGGGTATGAATAGCAGAGAGTGAAGTGAAAGTATGCCAGTCGGCTCTATCAAAGCACCAGCGTGGGGAGTTAGGAAGTGGTACGTATGAAGTAGGAGAAAGGAGAACTGGAAAGTGGTCACTATAGGGAAAGTGGTCTAAGACTGACCAGTGGAAATCTATATGAAGAGAAGGGGAGCATAGAGAGAGGTCAATGCATGAAAAAGATTGCGTGCGTGTATCAAAGTGTGTGGGGCGATCTGAATTTAGAATAGTAAGGTCAGCTGTGGATGGTTAATGGTTAATGATTAAAAGCAAGATAAATGTGCTAGACATCTAAGGTCATGTAGCACTATAGTTAATGTTAGTGAAGGGTGGTTGAGTTAGTGATTAGTTGTCTAAGCTGGGCAAAGGGATTAGTGAGTGAAAGGGTTAAGGTCGGGTGTTATATTAGATAAAGGGTATGCATAAGAAAGGTTTCTTGAAGGCATACAATAGATGGGTTATAAGAGGAAAGGATATGATGGTCAGGTCTGTGGGAGCGGAAACCGCGAATATTCCAATGAAGGATAGTTATACTTTCGTTGATTTAGTGATATACATTGTAGTACGTGTTGGAGAATTTGAAGGGGAATCAGCTAGAGGGTGGGATAAGGACTCAGAGGTTTGAGATGGGAGAGGTGTGGGAGTTGGTGTTCTATCAGGAGGGGTAGTAGGAGATGGAGGGTCTGAGGAAGGGGATACTTGTGACATAAGGGATTCACGTGTGTATCCAGGAGGGAGTGGAAGGGATAGAGGGGATGGTGGGAGAGTTAATGTGGGCTGGGTCAGGGGGGATGGGCTGTGTTGGGAGGGGGTAGGAGGGTAGGGTGTAGGGGGGATATCGTTAGGAGGAGGATGGATATCAGCAATTACTTGGAGTGTGGAAGGAGCAGGAGTTGTAGGTTGAGTGTCGGTTTTCATTAAGTAATCTTGAATATTTTCAATAGTTTCTTCTGTGGAGTTGGTTGGGGAGTTTTGGGGGATAAAGGATTTCTTGTGAGGGGGGGAAGAGAGGACTGGTGTCTCAAGAGTAGGGGCAAAGGATGGTGGGGGTGATTGTGTGGTAGGGGAAGAGGGGGTGGAACGTTTGTTCTGTCTGTTACGGGGAGTGCGAGGAGGGAGAGGGGAAGGTGTTGGGGTTGTAGTGGTGATTGGAGTATCTGTAGTAGAGATTGGAGTTTCTGGATTTAGGATGGAGTTTCCCCAGTTTGACTGGGGAAGGTAGGTGGGGTTAGTGGGGGGGTTAGATGTAGGAGGGGTGGGTTTAGGAGAAGTGTTAGGATGAGCAGTATTACTGGAGTAAGGAGTAAGAGAGAATCCACGTCGACGTGCTTCCTGTCTGGCTTCACGCAGTGTGAGTCCGAGTTTGAATCTGAGAGTTGCTACCTCAGATTCAAATTTGTAGGTGGGACAGCCCCTATAAAATACATTATGGGGG